TTGCCACGTTTTATATCACCAAGTTCACTAGAAGCTTTTAAAGCGTGATTTACAGCTAAACTTGTTTTTTGTTTATTTTCTTTTTTTATTTCTTGTTCATATAAATCAATTGCTTTTTTATATTGACCATTATTGTTCAATTTTTCATTTGAAACCTTAAATCACAAAAAGTTGATAGAAAACGTGGCAAAGATATTCATCAAAATCTTTCTTCTACTATGATAAACAATTCATTTATTCAATCTAGTCTAATTCGTTTATATAGTAAGTTATTCAAATGAATTATTTCATTATCATTTTTAAAAATATATTATTCTAGTGAAATCTGGTGATTATGAACAAAGTAAACATATATTTATGAATAGTAATAATAAAACAACATTAATGTTTAATAATATTCTCAAAGGTTAGTTTTATTGTCTTGTTTAAATTAAAAATCTTGTTTATCTGATTTAATTGTAGGTCTTATTGATAATAATCGTTATGAAGAAGCATTGAATTTTTTTAAACAAATAAACATAACAAAAGATGAATATACATATAGTATTTTATTTAAAATTTGTACAGAGATAGCCAATCAACATTCATTAGAATTTGGACAATTGGCACTTAATAATATGCCTAAAAAATTTTCTAATAATATTGTAGTAATAAGTTCTGCTTTACAAATGTTTATAAAATGTGGTGATATGATCAAAGCTGAACAATTATTTAATCAGATTGAGAAAAAAAAACCTTTACTTATAGTATTATGATGAATGGTAAGATGATCTATTGGATTTTCATTTATTATTGTTTTTTTTCTGCTTCAAGGTTTTATTATGAATAATCAAGCAGAGCGAGCTATTGAACTTTTCTTTCAAATAAAAAAACCATGTAATGTTATATTGCGTGTTTTTTTTAATGCTTGTGCTCAATTAAAAAATGAAAAAGCATTAAATTTAGGTAAAAAAGTATTTAATGAATTAAAGATTGAATCAAATGATATATTACATATGGTTTTAAATATGTTTATTAAATGTGATGATCTCAATAGTGCTGAACATTTATTTAATCGAATGAATCGAAATATTCTTTCTTATGGATCAATGATGAAACTTTATAATCTAAAAGATCAACCAGAAAAAACTTTAGAATTATTTCAAAAAATGAAAGAAGAAAATCTAAATCCAGATGAAATTTCTTATGTTTTATTGATTGATGCATTATCAAAAATTGGTGATCTTTCATTATCTCAATTATTTGTTAATGATATACCAAAAAGTTTCTTAAAAAATTCATGGATTCAAGTTGGATTGATTGATTTATGGGTAAAATATTTCTTTTAATATAAATCGATTAAGATTTTTCGAAATTGAATAGGGTAAAATTGGTTCACCAGATAAAAGTAAACAAATATTTGACATAATTGAACATCCAAACAGTGCTTATTTTGGAGCTATGAGTAATAATTATTTTGGAATAAAACGATTATTTACTGAAAAAATGACTTTTTTTTTAAATAAAAGTAAATGCCTACGGTTTAAATGGAATGGGTTTTGAAGCAATTGAATTATTTAATACAATTCCATCATCAATGTTAGATAATATTATTTATATATGTGTATTAAATGCGTGTTCTCATTCGGCTATTCTCAATCAAGCTTGGAAGATCTTCGAAAAAATTCCAATTGAACAACGAACAGAACAAATTTATACAACTATGGTCAAGAATTTTTCATTAAATTTAAATTTAAATTTCAATATTCTTTCTAATGTAGGTTGATACAACTAGTCGTCTATTTCTTTTTGATCAATCACTTCAATTAATTGATGAATATGAAAAATCTCATAAACCTTCTATTCCAATGTATAGTAAGTCAATTTATATTATTAAATTTTAATATAATTGAATAATTAAAGTATCAATACTTTCATCTGCTCGAAATGCAAAGAATGCTTCATTATCAGAAAAGATTTATCATCGTATTGAAACGAATTTTTCCAATAATGAAAAATATTTAAGATCAGCTCGAATTCTTCTTGCTAATACATATGGTTTAACTGGAAATAAAGATATGTTATCAAATGTTCGTATGTTATTAAATAAATCAAATACGAAAAAAGTTGTTGGTTGTTCTTGGACTGTTATTAAAGGAAAAGTTTATGTAATTTTAAAGAATTTTAAAATAGTTTTATTTTCTATTTTTTTCCCTTAAAATTTTTCCATAAAACAGAAATTTCGAGCTCATGATCGATCGAATCCTTATTCATCTGAAATTTATGAAGAATTAGGTCGACTAACGGTTCGATTAATCGAACGTGGATATAAACCTGATGAATCATGGATAGCTCGAGAGTTGAATGATGATGAAACAACTGAATCAGTATTATGTGGACATAGCGAACGATTGGCTATTATCTTCAATTTAATTCAACGACCACAACCAACTCGTATTCAAATTGTTAAAAATCTACGTATTTGTGGCGATTGTCGTTAGTTGAATAATTAGTTGATTTATTTTTAAATAAATTTTTTTGTTGATTTTAGATTTAGTCACCAAAATGATTGCTCAAATATATCAATGTTCGATTATCGTTCGTGACACAAATCGTATTCATCATTTCTATCCAAATGGAAAGTGTTCTTGTCAAGATCATTTTTAGGATTAAATTTTCGAAATAAAATTTTTCTTGAGAGATTAATTAAACAGCAATTATTATTAAGCAGATATACGAAAATCTATAGAGTCTTCGAGGAAATATGCCGAATTCAACTTAAATTTACTCATAGATGAATATTTGAAAAAAATTTCAACATCTTACTCATTTTTATTTTATTATTTGTAATACATACATACGATATTTATGAGAGGGTTCACCAGATAATGAGTCATAACAGTACGCATTAAATATATTTTTGTTTATCTTTTATCGCACATAAAAGACTGTATCAGGAAACGTATAATTATAATATATCAAGTTGTTTTGAAGTAAATACTAAGGATCGCAATTATCGAATTTTTATGGTTAGATCATAAAAACAAAGAATTGAAAATTCTTTGATGATTTTTTTTGAGAATTTTCTCATATTTGCTCGATCCTTTGAGACACGAGAGGCTTTAAAAGATACGGAAGAGTTTGCTACAAAATGTGCTATGCAACTATTCATAATAATAAGTTTTAGTAAGTGAGCTTCTACAAAAGAAGAAGTCTATGCTTGGTCGTCGTTCTTTTGCTTGTAATTTACCTCGAATCTCGAAAAATTACGGCATTACAAAAAAAGTGAATTTATTTTTATTGTCTAACGACAAAAATTTGATATTTGTGATCCTTAGTATTTACTTTAAAAGAACTTGATATATTATATTTATAAGTTTTCCCATACAATCTTTTATGTGCACTAAAAGATTGAAAAAATATATTTAATGACCACTGTTATTATTCATGATCTGATGAACTCTCTCTTAAATATCGTATGTATTAGAGATAGTAAAATTAAAATATTCATAACTATTAAAGAAAGCTCGAGAAATCCAAATCCTTTTAGGATTTTTACTAGAACACTATCAGTATCGATAGACCAAAATTTATTAAAATCGGAGGGTGACACCTTAGGAGGTTTCCCGTAAGAATCAATGTATTTTCTATGTTTTTCATTTTTCGAAATTATAATTTATGAATTTACCTTTCGAGATTTGTTTTTTGTGTTCATCTGTTGATTATATTATCTTGAATAATTGTTGACCCGCTTCTTAAGTTTTGAAGATCAAATTTTAGTATAGGACAAAACCAGCCAGCGGTCAACTATCTATGAGAAAGTTTTAGTTATTGAATAATAAAGAATAGCGTTTCTACGATCGAAAGTATACTTTCAACAGATTATCGAACATGCTGAAGGCTATGAGATGTATTTTATACGAATGATAGAAATTCCTTTTTCTTCCATTATATATCTAAAAGAGAGATTAATTCACTAATTTTACATTTTGTTAAATTTCATTTTTGTCTGAAAAATAGACAGCAGTTCTGTTCCGATTCCTGTTGTAAGAGTAAGACTTCATTGCTTAAATGATAAAACTCTCTTGATACTACTTACGGAGTAGAAAGAAGATGAATTTTTATTATGATAATTTAAAATTTCATATTCCTAAACTTTCCCCAATAGAATGTCAAAAAAAAAAGATGAAATTTCGTAACGGACAGTATTTTTTATTTTCTATTCGATGCAAACACTCAATGTGAAGAAATGACCTAACTCTTCGAAAGCTTATTTAAAGCTGAACAACTTTTAGACCGAACCTAAAAAAGAATTCCATTTTTTAAATTTTTTTAAATAATTTTGCTCTACTGAAAGAAGAATCAGTGATATTTATACCGGTAGTAGATCTAAATAGTCTCTATGTATCATAAGAAAGTTTAGAGAGTTTATGTTTATTATTGAGGAGATACAGATGCTGCAATGTGAAAATCTGAGATTCCGTAAAGCTGTTCGTGCCCTATACCATCTTATGTTTATTCAAATACTAATGTAGTAGAAGAGGATTCTCATTGTCACAATGGATTGATTGTATGTTGAACTGGTTTTCTTTCTGTTGTCTATGAAGAAAACAATGAGAATGTTCCTCTTTTGCAGATTGTGCTTTGTATTGGCTAATTGGTAAATTTTAACTCGATGAAAAGTTCTGTTTATGTAGTGAAAAATAAAACTAATGTACATGTTCGTATTTTTAGACTGTTGAATGTTATAAAATCGATATGACAATGTCACTTCGATTAACGAAATAGTCAATGAGCAAAATATTCTCTTTTATTAACATTATTTGTATTTCAATAGATAAAATCGATGATAATTGACGAAAGTATATTGAGTATATTTTAAATTTTCTGCTTTTTAAAAAAAATACTATAACCATTTATTCTATCACGAAAAAAGAAATAATTGATGTATTATTATATGGCAAATAGTATAAATGAGTAAAATACCGTACAAGAAAAAGATAACGATAGATTATATTAAGAAAACTTTTAATGTTTTGAAATGCTTGTTTTATTCACCAGATATAAGTTAATATTGATTGTTGACAAGACATTTTCTTTTGCATTTTATATTCTTCATATTCTAAGTCGAAAAACAAATGTAAGATGACGAATATGTCTAGCATATTTATACTTTTTTTCTTTAGTAAAGTTTGAGCACATTCTTCCATTTTATTTTGTTTAATTAAAAGTTGTTCGATGGTTTTCGTTTTCAGCTGTTTGATCAATTCCACTGACTGATCCTCTTTCAACCTAAGTAGATTATTCCGACCATCTGAAACATCATAATTCCTATCGTAAGCCATTTTACTAGCTAGACGACAGTGATATATCCTAACTTTGCATCATTCTCTAAGATTTTTGATTGTATTGATAACTAGATAAAAAAAATGATTCGATGTACAGAAAATCGTATCAAATGGTAAGTAACTTATGAAACAAAATATTGATGTCGTAGAGAGAAAAATGAATCATCACGCTACCAAAGAACGAAATTGATGTTTAGACTTAATTCTCTTCTTTTATATTTTGAAAAATATTTCGAATATAGAATTTTGTCTGTTCTCATGAAATAACAGAGTAGTTACTAATCCAAGATATCATTATGAGTATCACTATCGGAAAAATCACATATGTAACGTCGAAGATCTTGGCTAGTTAATTTATTATTTCGCTCTTAACAAGAACTCTTCAATTATAGAGAGAAATTCTACATCTTATCGTCTTTACTTAATTTTTTTTAAATTCGAGCAGTCACTAAAACTCGATTCTTTCATAGCAAAGTTTTACATAATTTTCTTAAATCTGCCAATTTAATCATCATGGAACTATCTTAATAGAACAAGAATTCGAAGTATTGATTCAAAAATCAATAATTTTTCTTTTGATCATAACATCAATTATAATGTTTTCGAAAAGCGTTTTGAACAAGACCAAATTTTTTAATGCCCTATTGTTAATAGCGACATGAAATATTTTATTAGACAAAACAATTACTCAACTAGAGACATTCTACAACATATATTTTTCAATTTCGATTAACTACGTAAAAATCAAACAGTGACATAGAAATTTTTACTAATAGAAGCTTTTACAGAATTCTATTAGATTTTAACTGATTTCTTATAATTGATAATGTTTGAAAAATGAAATTTTTATATAAAAGAAAAACTCTTTCAAGTCAAGTAAATATAGCGAAGAAAATAATCTAAATAATATCTTTTTATCGTTCGAAATTGATCAACTAAAATCAAATGTCTTTATTCTGACCTGTGAAAAACCTTTTCATATTTCATTTATAACCAGAGCTATAATGTTTTTCAATCCACTAATATAAAACTAATTACAAAAGAATAATTAAATCACTGTGAAGAAGCATTATAATTGAGAATGAATCTTTGATTGAATTTAACTTTGTTCATAATGTTACTGTTCTATGTAACTATTTTTGCTCAATTCTATCGTTTACATAGAAAATCGCGTATTCTTTTCAAAAATCGAAAAATAGTTTAGCATTAAAGAGAGCAAATATAGCATTAAAGCCTTTAAAGTAAATCCCTTCTCTTCCACACCCTCACAAAACAACTGTAGTTTTAGTTCACTTTTGCTCATTAAATCATTTATAAATCAATTTATTTCACTTGTCTGACACATAAAGTAAGAGTAAATTCCTAATAGTGTTCAATTTTTCTAAAAAGAAAATAAGATTTTCCATTGACCTTATTTCAACTTCTTAATAACTAAATAAGTAAAGAAAAAAAAAAAAGACATTTTAATTTTTTTAAGAATCTTACTAAGAAAATAAATAAAATACATTTTCAGAATTATAAGAAATATATACAGAACCAACTTCAATATGTTTACAAGAAGTTGTGTTTTCTTTAATTCTGATAGACAGTTTTCTAATAATGACTTTTCGAAATTTCTAAAATAAAGCTTTTATTAATATACAACTTGGTTGTATGTAATATATTACTATGTTACAAAGATCCCATTGAGTATTATGCGCGAAAATGTCTACTACGTCTCTTGCAATTTATGAGCATAAACGCTTTCTTCATATACGTAACATAATGAAGTTTTTCAGCGTAAGTTCGAAACTAATTCAATAAGAATCAAAAATTAATTTTATTAAGAGAGCTTCTTCCAACATGCTCTTAGTTAATTTATTCAGGAGGATCATTCCATTCAGGAAGAAGGATGATAGTCGTTGAATGTATCTAGCATTTTATCTCTAATATATCTTTCTGAAAATTCATGTTTACTTCTTTTCACAAGATAAAAATAATTCAATCAGCTGTACAAAAAGAGATCTCGTTGATTATTAGTCTTGGAATATGTCAAAATTGGTGACGCAGGTAACCCAATATCTTATATAATGCCTGAGGAAATATAGTGAATTCCGACTTGTCAGGTATGTACGCAATGTACTGACAAAAATTCGACAAAACTATAGAAGATTCATAGGTTTACAACTAATTATTCATAATTTTTAGGTGATTTTTTTGGTATTTTTCTTAAAACAAAATCTATTGCTTCATTTCTGATGTCAAACTAATATCAACACATTTCAAAAATAGATTAAACAATCTTAAAACAATATACTAGATATTAAGGATACCCTATTC